ATTTTCACAACAAAGTTCCAGGGTCATATGGCGTACCACCATAGTTTGAGAACCACTGCTCTACACTGTTCACCACAGTTAATTACTAACTACCGTTTTCCCTTCACATTTTAGATCAAATTTATAAACTAAGTTCAAACCTCCTTTGTACCTTAGTTCAGTCCTATGTAGTCAATTCTCAAGGTGTAAAGCAAATGCTGATATGAGAATTTCTAACTTTAGAATTACTAGGATCTATCTATCTAGGTTTGTTGTGAGGGACAGTGTATTTTGTAGTTTACACAATATGCAAGTGCAGGCAGTGGTGTTTGCATGGTGTTACTGAAAACAAATAGACCCGATGTTTCTACTAAGCTAATCTAAAGTTTCTCTGGTCTTGGTACAGAACTCACCACCTACTATAGTCTCTCACTCTTCTCTCTCAAAAGAGAACACAGACCCATTTTGTATTCCAGTCAGAGGGAACATTGATCTACCAGATCCCTACATTTTTCATAGTGGATGCTGTAGTAGGCCTCAGTTTTATACTCTCAGCAAAAGCATTGGGGTATCCACTTTGTCTGCCTATTTCTTTGTCTCATTGGTGGTCAACGTAAATAATTACAAAAATCTGGAATTTTCAACAGCTATTCTGCCTATTTGTCATGTTTTTTCAGAAACATGTACAGGTTAAATTAATTTTTTAGTTCTTGTCTACTCATCCACATAGAGGGTGTACCTATCTGGTAGAACAGACCCTAGAGCTTTTTTCACTGCCTGCAGAATGTTGATGCCAGTGTAGCGTGACAGGGTTTTTTTTCCCCCCAATCCTGACCAAGCCAATGAACACCTATTTACGTTGAAATAGCACCGATATTAAATTGTAATTTTTTGTTTCTAGGAAGATTTAATTTAAAAAGTTATAAATGCAACAGTTTAATTCGACCATCAGACAGGTACACTTACATTTTATTGAACAAATATGATATAGATAAAATTAACAGTTAAATGTAGTACTTCCATTGAAAACATTGTTTCAATGTATTGTCATTTGTCTCAGAGAGCCTCAACAAGCATCATCTACCTGTTCACAGGTATCTGAACCTTAGATGTCACACATCATCCATATTCATTATATAAATGTTTAATGGGGTCCAGGTCTTGGAAATATGGAATCCACACCATAACCGTCAAATTCTCAGCTCACAAAAAAGCCATTACTATACCTAAGCAGCTTGAGAATGTGTTCTTGCAAAGGTAGGGCATTCAATGAGGTCCCCAGAGTTGACTGATGCAGTGTTTTGCAGGTTCCCTTTAATCACTACAAATGGAGCTCTTTAGTGACGAGACACTCTTAGTCAGACCATCATTAGCTGGAACATCTTCACATGTTCCCATTCCTCCAAAATGCCAATGGCACAAAGTTTTTGATAAACTGGCGTTTTCTTCTTGGATCAATCTCATCACCTGTGCCCAATCAATTTTCACAAATTAACATCCAGCATTTAATATCAGAAATACATAGAGTTTATTCTTCTTAACAGCATACTTGCATAAGTAGAGTTATGTTTCTTTTAATGGTCAGTATATTACAGCATGTGTGTATTGAATTTCTTTTTCCAATTATTTAAGTTACTGAGGATAGGATAACAGTGTCTGCCAAACAAATACACCGAGACACAATAAAAACAAGACGGCCTACGTTTTAAATCAGTTTAAAAAAAACTGAGCTCCAGTTATGTAATTTCAGAAATAGCTAAGTGCTCAGTGCTTAGTATTTGAGTCGAGTTAAAAGAGACAAAATTTGTGGATAAAAAATTTGTACAAACAGCCATTCCACGGATTATTTTAATTAACGCAAGAACAACAAATCATGCCTCTTGGATAATGAAGCTAGCCTGGTTGCATCACCACCTTCAGTGAACCTAGAAAACTGTGGTGGTAGGAGACAACAGTGGAATGCTTTATTCACTGATGAGCACTGTTTTGCCCCTGATAGACTGTGGTGACTTGCATTATTTAAACCAACTTGCTGGGTCATGAAAGCTTGATACTGGAGGAGATTTTCAACAAAAGAATACCTTGGACCCAGACTGAGGACAACCGTACTGCTCAGAGATTATTTATCCTTTCCTCCTAGTCAACGGACAGAGCCGACTTTACTTCTTGAGGAGGCTCAGGTCCTTCAATGTGTGTAGTAAGATGCTACACATGTTTTATCAGTCGGTGGTAGCGAGTGTCATTTTCTACGCAGTGGTGTGCTGGGGCTCTGGGATTAGAGCAGTAGATTCCAAAAGGCTGAACAAGCTCATCAGGAGAGCAAGCTCTGTCATTGGGTCTGACCTGGACCCCTTTGAGGTAGTGGCTGAGAGGTGAATGATGTCCAAACTAGAGGCCATCATGGATAACTTCTCCCATCCCCTCTATGACAGGCTTGCAGGAATGAAGAGCACGTTCAGCAATAGACTGATTCATCCACGGTGCGACAGGGAGCGCTACAGGAGGTCATTCTTGCCGTCTGCCATAAGATTGTACAACGCATCCACCTTGCGTCTTGGCAGAGGCAACATCGACAGTGACCTGTTTCTGGACTAAACGCATATACACATCTACTGCTACATCTGTTCTCTTTCTTTTTCCCATTTACAACCACTTTTGTGCAATATATGCCAGGGACCTGTGCAATACATTTATATTTATATCTATGGTTACATCTATATTTATATTCATACGTGTGATACGATTTTCTGTGTACTGTTCTGTTCTAGTTTGCTCTTGTGTGTCCGGACTGTGAGTAACTTTTGTATTGTATTGTATGTATTGTACTATTATTATATAATTCGTTACACTGTGGCTGTGTTGTGTGTGTTAAGCTGCTGTTGCACTGCAATTTCCCTCACGGGATCAATAAAGTATCTATCTAACTGGATGTGTGGATCTTCCAGCAGAAAAATGCAAGACCACACAGTGATGATTGATAAGACTTTGGCATTGATTTCTTGTGCCATGTCATGGTCAGATTCTTCTCCTGACTGGAGTCCAGTAGAACATCTATTGGACCACTATGCCAGGGTCATCAGCACCAGCCAAGCATGACCAGCCAACCTCTACCAGCTTGCTGGAGCTGCTCAGGAAGAATGGTGGGGCATCCCATCACTTCTTCCAGGATTCTGCTAATATTCTTTCAGCTGTATTTTTGTCACATTTCTTGTGACTACCCTTCAATACCTAAATTCTAAATATTTAAACCCATTATATGCACATAAAGACTCTGCTGTGCATAAGTATAACACGCTGCTTTATAGGCTGGGGGCTAGTCTATACTCCCATAGAGAACACAATATACTGCAGTCATAACTTCAATTAAGCGAGTTAAACACAAAAGATTCTTTTTTGCTTAATACATAATACATAATACATTCTGAGAGGTTTCTTTTAGAGTTTTAATATCTAATTTGGAACTTAACACATGACCATAATAGCCACAACTCTAAGGAGCTGTTATCCATTTTTGTTACAGAAATCACACATGTGAAATATTTAGGAGTAGTGATAAGCAAGTACATCTTCCCAAAATTCCTTTCTACCATGCACCTCTTTTTTGTCTTTATCTCTGCCAGAAGATTGCACTCGGGGGTCCAGAGCATTAATTGCAATTTATAAACTTTCTACATGACTGCCCCCCCTAAGTCCAAATATACAGGGAATCATAATAGGCATTCACCCTAATAGACATGGCTTTTCCTGCTGTGTAAGTAGAAATCTACATGAACTATAATTAAGCAGAAAAATAACACTATGTTAACACTAATAAAATGCACAGTCCTTCTGGGGAGTGTTACTCAAAACTCTAAGCACAAGATGCATACCAATGGTAGTCTTGTATTGGAGGAAAGATGCCTATAAAACTTCAGGTATTGAAACCTTGAAGAACTGGAGATACAGACTGAATGGATTTGTTCCTTTTCTAAAGTTAGGAGCAGTAAGTCTTCTTAAGTCTTTGATACTGTATTTTAATTATTTTCCAATGATCCACCATAAAAGGACAATAGAAAATGCCAATCTTCACAGTACTGTTAAGAAAAGCCATTTAACCTACATCCACAGTACTATACTTCTTTGGAATGTGCAACTAGTGGGTGGTCAAAGATTTTATTTAATCCAGACATAAATTAAATTGTATTAAATCTGTTTAAAAAAACAGACATGGTGTCTCCCCAGAAATTACACAGACCCAGTCTGTATTCTCAGATCTAAGTGCTATGATAAAAGACTAAAACAAACATCAAAAGGGGATCATTTTTTCCTGCTAAATGGGACTCATTTATAACAGCCAAGAACAGACTATGAAATAAACGGCACAGGATGTTTTGCTCAGTACATTCACCTTCTCCGTTTTTAAATCTCCATATATTGTTGTGCTTGCAGCATAAGACAAGTAATATTTTAAGCAATTTTATACCAAATGACCTGTTCAACATTCCATAAGGGTTAATAGGTGTTAGACTTTTTAGATTCTCCTTGTTTGCACTAAAATGGTTGCAAAGCAGGGCTTTGGGGAAGCCTTCAAGCCCATTTCAGAGCACTTTTTCACTATTTAAATCAGAACTAAAACAACAACAACAACAACAACAACAACAGACAAAGCCATCTAAATCTTCCTTCTCCTTTTTAAATGAAATTACTGAAATGGAACAGAAAGCTTGGCTTTAGAGTTTTGCAAAATGAGAGAGAACAAGGTTTTTTCTAACCTAAAAGCTTTCGCATAGTGCTTCAAAGAAAGAAAGAATCAACCCTTGACTAAAGAAGTTATTTACTAGGTCAGTGGTATATGTACAAAAAATAAGTCTACATATAAAAGTACAGAATTAAGCTGCAGGATGATGAATATAGCCCAGACAGCCAACTCCATATATAACAAGACAAGCCAAAGAAAAGAAGAATAAAACTTAAACGCAAAACACGAGAAAACCCACAAGTTAAGGCTTGACAGGTTAGAAGAGCAGGACAAGCTGTCTTACCTTCAGCCACATCGTCGTCTATGGCACCTTTAACCTGAGAGAAGCACCACTGCACGTCATTCCCCCCACCTCCGGCTCCTGGAAAGCAACAGTCACACAGTCAGATTCAACAGCAACCCGCCCCTTTTCAATCACTGCACACAGCAGCCTTTCTTCGGTTAGCAACATCGCACAGCTGTGTGCAAAGCCAGATTACAACAGTGCCAGGTAGCCTTACAAAGTTTTCAGTTATAGCCTGAAGCAGCCTATGCTGACATTGCTGGATACATGGTGCATAAACCATGTGACCTTGGCACACTGTACTCACAATCTGCATAGCACGTGATCCACTAGAGCTATGCCCTTTAATAAGATATCTCCAGTTCAAATAGTGAGTGACTGAGCTAAATTCTGATGGGGAAAGGAAAATGCAAAAAAGAAATTTAATGCATTAAGATCTAAAAAAAAAAAAAGATCACCATGACAAACAGCAAAGATATTCCAATAAATGTGCTTGATAATGTGTTTATTCGAAAATTGTTCATTACCTAGAACTTTTTAACTCTTACCATTTCCCTTTGTTATGCTATAATTATGTGCCTATCCCATTAAAATCACTCTGATTGCATTTCTGGGGTCCAGTGCTCAGAATCAAGGTACTTCTGCAGTTCCAGACAATTTTGAACCACACACAAGTCACTGAATGTAGCTTAGAATCCCCCCCCCTCCCCCTTACTGGATATTCACCAATATTGGCAATACTAGAACTTGTTTACTAGAGACCACAAGTTTGGAGTGAGGGAAGGAACATTTACACAACAGTGGCGAATTAACAGAAATGTTATTATTTGGAATCCCTACTTTTAAGCTTTGGCTTCCCAAAAACATAATTGCAACAGCTAATCAACTTGGCATGTAGTACCACCAAAGAAAAAACTGTTCTTTGACATTTTCACTGTTAAGTGGCAAGTTGGAGATACAATGGTCAACTCAAGCCTGTCACACAATGCCAAATCTCGGTCAATGTTCATCACCACTTGGGGAATTTCACTTACAACTGCCTAATGCTTGACAGGCTATGAGGGTCAACCTTTCTGAGTGAGCCCCTTGAAAGCTTGTGCCACTAAACAAGCTTTGCGTTTTGGCCGACTTCAACTCAAAAATCCCTTTCCAGGAGAAACATGCCCAAGAACACATAAAACATTCCCTTTTCTGCAAGACAGCAGTGATAAGCAGCAGCACTAAAAATAGATCTGTGTAAAGAGAAACAAATGTATATACTGCAATACTATTCACAATTACAGGCAGAAGATGTTCAAGGTTGGCCTAATACTATGAAGCAGTATAAATAGGGAGGCCATCACCCCAGGCACAGAGAGTGCAAAGTGATTTTATAATATTAACTATATTCGGAAAATGTAATGTGAATTGAAATGCGTCCACAATATTTTCAAGGCAGACTGCTTTGTGTTCATAATGGAAAGATAACCATGTGTTATCGAGCACTGCATTAGACAGGATCAAAATGGAAATGGACAAAAAGTCTAACTTCTGACTTCCTACGAGATGGCTCATTGTCAAAATCCAACAGATACAGTCATGATGGTACCGATGAAAGGCACAGCTTTATACATTGCATTCATTTTATTGGTTTATGACCATTTAACCAACCTAATGCTGTATTACTCAATGAATACCATGCCTATGCTTGATCTGCATGAAAGGCCTCCATGATGTTTAATTCAGATATCTTTCAGCCACATTCTTATTATGCTCAGTCCTGCTGCATCTCACAATTTCTAGCTAGAATCTAACAATCATCAGAAATAGGAAAGACAAGGGTGTCCTGTATTCCACTTTTTGCATATCCTGCAATACGTGTTATTACTCGTGGCCTAGCAAAGCACAACATCCAGTAAGTGCCTGGGGAAAACAAAATTAAAGTCGCTCCACATTGAAGAAGCCCAATGAGAACACAATGCCGTGTGCATAATACTCCAATTGCTGGGTCTTTTTTGCCCATTTTTCTTGGAACGTTTAATCACAGTGGCAACTCCATGCGATGTCAGCACAAAATCAAGGAACATGTTTAGCACTACACTAGGCTATGTGAAAAACTAAACAAAACTATTTATGATGGAAAAGATTAACAATAAAAGGGACAGGATGCATATACCATAGGAGGACAGCACGCATTATGTAAGCAATGAGAACACAAAACGTGGCTGCAAGGACATTTCTCTGGATCGGGGCTAAACTTCTAATTCTTAACCAAGTGACAAAGCACTACGGGCAAGTGTTGCAAGTAATATTGCATACATTTGTTAGGACATTCACAGCAATTCATCTACCAACTTACTGTTGCATGTTTTAGTTTCACAGCCCAAAGGAAACTACATGTTTTTACCAGATTACGGTAGGGTGTGAAATTCTTGCACACGGCCTTCAGAAAATGAAAGCAGTCAAGGTTTTTAACCAAAAAAATGCTTATAATAGATTTATATTAGAACAGCTATAATTTTCAAAGTTCTGAGCAATACACTTAAAGATATTGTACTAGTGGAGGCAGAAACAGTATAAATCAGTCATACTGGACAGGAGAGCACCCACGAGGATGAGAGACCCTTGGACATTTAGTTGGCCACACATGTAGCCCCATAAAAGTCACCAACACATTGAGTAAATCATATCAATATACTGTATCTTGCATTCTGATTTATAAGGAACACCTTAGCCCTTATCTAGACTTACACTGTTAAGATATATCCACAGATATCCCATACAAGCATTTGGACAGACTGTATTCATTAGGGATCTAAAGTAAGAGCAACTTTTAAGAGCTATGAAACACCACTGAGCTCAAAATTAAACTTTAAGCTGTATGCAGTCAACAGGGCAATTATATATGCCAGCTCATGCTTTCTAAAGCTCCAAGCATTAAAAATTATAGTTTTTCTAAAATATTAACCCTAAAATGTATTTGACTTTATATTGTTTATTATGGCTACAATAATCAAGACAAATGTGCTTTACGCCCTCACTTTTTAAAAGCAAGGGTATATCTCAACTTTGTGATATAATTATGCACACGCCCTGCAAATATTTCAAACACAGTATTCAGACTTTGATACAGACCGATATGAAAACAAAATTACTATATTGGGTCTTATATTTAGCCAAATATTTGCCAATACTACGACAATAGAAATCAGCAGGACTGAATGGACAACCAGTACTTACAATAGCTGACTTTTCAGCAACAGTCGTGGGTGGCTGTATTGGGATTTTAAAATGCATATCATTGCATCTATCACATCAAACACATAACCAGAAATCTTTAAGAATAAGAATACATAAAATAACTTGTTCAACAGCCATGTAAAGGCAGATCTATTTCAGCACAAGGTAAAATTATAAAAGCTGAGGTTCTTGACCATAGTCTTCACATTCACAATTTCCTGAAAACACTCCTACACAGAAAATAAAAAAAGCACTAAATGTATTTGTTCTTCTGCTTTAAAGGTGTTGGAAAAACTTGCAGTTTGCAAAAATGCTTCTCTGTGATTGTGAGTCTAAATACATCAAGAAGGGTTACAAGTGACAAAAGGCCGCCAGAGTCCACTTGGGTGTCTGTGATTCCATTACCTGACAACCCAGATTTCACCAAGCTGGGTCTTGTTGAATGTCAGTATCAGAGTAGAAAAAAAGACAAAATGTGCCCTGTAAATAACCAGTTTTAAAACAGAATTATTACGACCACATTACAAAAATTACATTTCCATGCAGGACCAGATGTGAGATTAGTGGTCTAAAAAGTGAACCATCTCAGTATTAATCTTACCTGAAACTTACTGATGGGATTAACAAAGACAAGATGTTTTTCCAATGGGAGAATAACATTTGATCAAGTCAAGATGGAAAACTATGTCAGGTGAAGGGAGCAGGAGACAGAAGAGAAAAATAGACCTGAGTTTTTCTACTGTTATTGGGTTTGGTCCTCAGTACGAAACATATATACATATATTACATCCAGAATAATACACTCCCACTAAGGCATCAGGACCCCTGGCTTTCTGCAACATTACCTCAGGTGTTGCAATACAAAGTTCCAGCCAAACCATTGGATCAATGGGTTGAAGTGGGCCCAGTGCAGTAATTTTATAAAGCAGATGATTTTATTCCAAGGTTTTCTGACCATGGAAGGGGGACCATTCAACAATGGATCAACAACTACCACCACATTCACAACAGGAACTTGATTTTAAGCCTCATTCAACAAACCAAACACAAGGTGGTTCAATAGCTTTCTCACAGTGACACACAGTAAAGCAGCAGTAATTCTGGGATCACCAACTTCCTACTAATTGATTCTGTCATAAATATTGGACCACTGAGCTACTCTGAGTACCCCTCAGCAAGGGATGAGATTCCAGACAACCGGGAAGGCAGATACATTAGTGTTATACAGCAACATGAGATTGTATTCTCCACATAATATGGTACATAATATGGGAACCATTCCATGCTGAACACTTACAGAAGTGAGTGGCAAAGTTTCTGACAGGCATACCAATATTCTACATCAGTGGATGTCAAATAAGGGTCTTCAAAAATGGCCTTCCTGTCCCCAGAAGCAAGGAGATGTTTTATACCCCAATCTAGTAGTATGAGTGCTATGTCAAATTAAACCTGTCAGACAGTGGATCTTCTCCATACCAAAGTTAACAGTACATCTACTGACCTGCAGTTCTTCTTTTAAGACTTTATCATTAAAATAAGATAATTGAGATTACAAATAAAAAATAATTTGTTTTTAAAAATTGTTAATTACTGAATTGCGTGTCTTGAAAAGTGGTCAAGATCAGAAAATCTCTCCATTTCCAAGTTCTGAAAATAGGTGCTAATAGACTATAACAAGTCTAGGTTTTACATCACTACCTCATTGGGTGCATAGGGTTATTTAAATTCTTAATAGTGAGCAGACAGGTTTGTAGATTATTTACTGTTTCATGGGAAAAACAACCTGCTCAGGTCATGCAATTTAAAAAAAATACCAGGTGCCGACTTTGGTATTTAAATTGTACTTAAGTTGCCAAAATGAACTGATTGAGAACCTGCATAAACAACCATTCACAAAGATTATTTTAATTAATATAAGGACAGTACATCCATGCCCAGTTTGAGTAATGAAGATCGCTTAATTGCTACTTGCATGACTGAAGGTGGCCTGTCTGTGACAGCAGTTGCCCAGAGAATGAGATGTTCTGCTTCACCAATCAGCAGACTAATTCAGAGAAACCAGGAAACTGGCTCACCAGGAACAGGCCACATCCTGGAAGGCAGAGGGTCACCGCAACGGCTCAGGACCGTCACATCCATCTGATCCATCTGCGTAATCGTTTTCAGACTGCTGTAGCTATAGTACAAGAAATTCCAGGAAGAAACAAGGCACGCATCAGCAGGATGGCTCTAGCTTGCAGTCTACATGAAAATGACCTGAATGCTCAGAGGGCGTTCAGGGGTATCGCATTGAAAGGTGAAGTTGTCATTTTCTGTGGGCCAAAGAACGTCTGAGGTGGTGGTGTGGTGAACAGTGCAAAATGGCACCAAGGAATGCCATTTTGAACTTGACAGACCTGAAGGAAGAAATCGTACAGGAAGGTGCCATGATGAGTGTTATACCGCTTGTTGCTTTGTTCAAGATTACTGGCAAGGCAGTGAAAATGTGAGGATCTGGGAAGGAATCTACTTGAACACAACACTTTTGGGGCAGATTGTGGGCAACCTTACAGCTTGGCGACACTAACAAAGCCCTTGTGCTGACACTTTTCCCCCTGTTTTTTCAGGCCTTTCCCCCCTGTTTTTTCAAGCCAATCAAAAAGCACAGATTTGCCAGCAGGACAATGAGAGACCACAAAGTGCAAAGATTACAGTGACATGACTGCAAGCAAATTTCGAGGTCTTGCCATGGCCAGTGTTTTTCAAGTCCTTCGGAACATCAGTGGAACCATGTTGCCAATGCTGCCAACTCTCCCAGCTTGCCACAGCTGCACAAGAAGAGTGACAGGGCATCTCGCAGTCTACCAAAAGAGTGAAAACCAGGCCTCAGGGAGATCATACCCAATACTAACTAAAAAACATAACTCACTCATCTGGGTTTTAGTTCATGATTTTTATATCTTTTTTTTAATTCAGTGTATTACACATGGGTTGAGCTTGTTTTGTACATCATACACAGTGCAAGTCAATATAAATGCATAACCGAAAAGTGACAAATCCAGCTTTTAATCAGCACTCAATTTTGGACTTGGCATTAAAAATAATCGTGGCAGAAGGATAACGTTTCATTAATGCTTGTTAAAGAAAATATTAATACTATTGCTACTACAATAAAGACAGAATGCACGGTCAGTGTGAGATATACTGGAATACGGTGGGAATGCTGTTGTCAGTGACTAACTTACAATCCCAGTTCCATACCATAAAAACCCACAAGTGTCTCTACAACTACCTCAACCCCTGCATCTGCAAAACAAATAAATATTAAATCACCGCAGGCTATAAACACGCTTAAAAAAACTGATTATACATGCAGCCAGAAATGCACTGTAGTTACATTACATAATAGACCTATTCAGAGACTTAGGAGAGCGCAAGGATACGCCTGCCAGTTTTAACGCTTAGGGGATGGACAGACTACGGAAAGTCGTCATGTTTTGCTTTTTAACTTAAATAAGAAAATATTTTCCCTTTTCCCTGAAACTAGGTGTTGTACTATATATATATATCCATACACGAATTAACGGTTCTAGATCCTGTTACTAGTTCAAACGTAGCCAGTACACCATGAGTTTGGGGGGGGTAACGTTCAGAAAGACACATGGGGCGAAATAGAAATCGCCATCTCAAATTCATAAACGAGGCGCAAGGTGCCTCCATCACTCGCGTCATAAGTGTGCTATCAAGGAAGTCCCTCTAAATACTAACACACGTCCTTTCATCCTTCCATGTCTGTGTGGATATTTTCATTTCGACAGTCATATCCACCCTTTTACTTGCATCTTTACATAGTACACACAACAACATTGAAATAAGCATTTCAATACCGGGATATGGGCATGACCGCCCTGTGCAAAAACTTGATATTGCCGATCATGAGGAATTTCCCAGTGTCTAATATAAACGACAACGACAATTACATTTTTTCCCCCGCAAGAATATAAAAATCGCCAGTCAATCCTAAAATGGAACTCAAAAACTTTACGGAGCAAAGGATCACAGTAATGGAGCGGATGCAATTCTCTACCACACACAGGCATGCATTCCAGTAACGCATTAAGTTATGATCTCAACACGACAGATATAAATACACATACAAGACAAAAACATGCACCAGCCCACGATTCACTTTGCCTCTGCTTGACGTGCATGCAACGTGGGGAAAGACTGATCGATGGAACAGTGGGAAACAGAGAAGGAGGGGTGATTTAAGGAAATGAGCAGGGTTCAGCGTGATGATTTGGCTTTTCGGTCTCAAAATCGTACACCGGAAAAAAAAGAGGAGCGGACGCCTTGAGTACTTCTATTTTCCCACATACTGTTACCTGCCATGGTGAGTGTGCGGCTCTCTGGTGCTCGACTGGGGGCCTGAGGTTTCTAATCTTGCCGGTCTTTGCTGTGTGCAAGCTGCTTGTCGATGAGGATGGTGGTGGATCGTGAAGCTAGGCACTCGGCCGCCTTCCTGCCTGCCCCTGCCGCTCTCTCTCTTTCCCTCTCTCACTTACTCTCTCTAATCTACCTCCCCTCTCTCCTTCCACTTTCAAAATGGCGCAACCTCCTCCCCGCACTGATGTCATCACGACTGACACAACCTTTCCAAGGGAAAGGTGGAGCTTCGAGCGACGTTTGCGCCCAGCTTTTGTCGCTTTTTGAGGACGTGTTACCGTAAAATCACATTAAAAGGACATTACATATTTTCCAGATATTAAGCTCTCCTCGCTGTAGATGTGCAAATATATCAACAGTATAAACAGGAAAAGCTACACGTTTAGAGGATTGTTTTGTCTTTAATTTTGTAATGCTGTGTTTTAACATTATATACATAAAAAGGGATACTTTAAAGGAGATATTTTGGGAAATAGCATCAATGAATTATTATTATTATTATTATTATTATTATTATTATTATTATTATTATTATTATTATTACTTTAGCTTGTTACCTAATGTTACAACAAATTAAGATATAAGGTAAACACATTGACAATTTTCCGTGTGTTACATTTTGACCTACTGAGATCTTCTTAGATCAGTCATAGACTTGTGAAACAATCAGTCAGAAAACGCGCTGTTAGGACCAAGAGTGGTAGCTGTGGAAGTGCATGTAACTTCTTGTGCGCATACGGAGTTTAAAGATCAGACGGCGCTTGTTCAGACAATGAAGTGGTTTGGGCTCAAACCTTGTTTCACATGCCGGAAACGAGTCAACACAGCAGTCGGAATTGTACTGGAGGTACACATTTACTTGTCACACGTGCCTTTGTAATGGAAAAGCGCACACGACAGATAAAATAACTACTGATGTACGAGCTAAATATGACCGATTTTCATCACATGAAATCTATGTTATACAACCTTGTGTTTAAACACCCGAATTTAAGGTTTAAAATGAAAAAAAGTTGCTTTAAAAACTCTTTCCAGTTTTTAGGTAACATCGTTTTTTAATGTTAGACGTTGCTGGACCAAAATACATTTACAGCTTTTTGTGATTTTGCATAATGAATTTTGGATTTTTAACTTCTTTGAGATCTGCATGGGGGGAAAACAGCATAAATACAGGCGTAGATTATTCCAGAATATTATTTATGTCGTTTTAAGTATACTGTATGGACTGTAAGAAGCTACACTAATGTCTCCAGTATAAATTTCTTACATTTATATATTTGGGTGGCACGGTGGTAAGCATTGTTGCCTTGTAGTGGGCTCTGGGTTCAGTTCCTGGGGTATTATCTGTGTGGAGTTTGTATATGTTTTCATGTGGGTTTCTTCATAGGTGCTCTAGTTTTCTCCCAGATTCCAAGGACATGTTGGTTGCTTGTTTGGCTTTTGGGAAAACTGTCCCTGGTGTGTGTGTTTGTGTCTGTATGTGTGCCCTGTGATGGACTGGTGTTCCATCTAGCGTGTATTGACTTATGCTTGCTGAGTCTTTGGTAACCCCTTGTATTGGATAAAGTGGTTAGAAAATGGGTGTATGGATTTGTATATGTATCTTTTTTCTGTATCTGTTTCAAAAATCTTTTAGAATACAATAATTGGTCAAATGGATAGTTTCAATAATTAAATAAAACTATATATCAAGTGGAATGATAACTGAAGACTGCATCCATTGAAAATTCTATTTGCATATCCTTGGCTGTGAAAGGTTGTCTCAAACATTTCTTAAAATCATCTGAAGGTTAAAACTTTCACATCCTTCTAGGTTCAGTTACCTAGAAAACACCTCAGGGCTTGTTTAGACTTATTTACAGTTGTGCAGTTAATGAACGAATTAGACCAACTAAAGTATATACTGTACCTCAAAGTTCAGGTGAAACAAAAATAAAACCAAAATATACTAGGAATGAGTCCTTAAAACATTCAAAAACATGTACAGTGGTGTGAAAAAGTGTTTGCCCCCTTCCTAATTTCTTATTTTTTTGCATGTTTGTCACACTGAAATATTTCAGATCAAACAAAATGAAATATTAGACAAAGATAACACAAGTAAACACAAAATGCAGTTTTTAAATAAAGGTTTTTATTATTAAGGGAAAAAAAATCCAAACCTACATGGCCCTGTGTGAAAAAGTGATTGCCCCCTAAACCTAATAACTGGTTGGGCCACCCTTAGCAGCAACAACTGCAATCAAGCATTTGCGATAACTGGCAATGAGCCTTTTACAGCGCTGTGGAAGAATTTTGGCCCACTCATCTTTGCAGAATTGTTGTAATTCAGCCACATTGGAGGGTTTTCGAGCCTTAACCCCTTTTTTAAGGTCATGCCACAACATCTCAATCGGATTCAGGTCAGGACTTTGACTAGGCCACTCCAAAGTCTTCATTTTGTTTTTCTTAAACCATTCAGAGGTGGACTTGCTGGTGTGTTTTGGATCATTGTCCTGCTGCAGAACCCAAGTGCGCTTCAGCTTGAGGTCACGAACAGATGGCCGGACATTCTCCTTCAGGATTTTTTGGTAGACCGCAGAATTCATGGTTCCATTTACCACAGCGTTTTCCAGGTCGTGAAGCAGCAAAACAGCCCCAGACCATCACACTACTACCACCACCATATTTTACTGTTGGTATGATGCTCCTTTTCTGAAATGCTGTGTTACTTTTACACCAGATGTAATGGGACACACACCTTCCAAAAAGTTCAACTTTTGTCTCGTCAGTCCACAGAGTATTTTCCCAAAAGTCTTGGGGATCATCAAGATGTTTTCTGGCAAAACTGAGA